TATAGCCCCAAGTGCTGACATGTATCAGCACATGTAAGTCTCTCATTGGCCCACGTGGTGTTGCCCACGCGGGTATGTCTCCTCCTCTTGGGCCTGTGGGTGTGCAATTGGGCCTGCTGCATGTGGCTCTAAGAGGGCGTTGGGCCTAATCCCAACAGGTTGTATTTTCAAATTTACTCCAATTTTATTAGATTTAATAAAAGAAAAAAACTATGTCCTTAAACATGGCAATGGAAAGGAATTGCCATGGTGGTAGTCCATGATGGGTAATGGAATTTTATTGTCCACGGTGACAGTCATGATGGCATGGAATTGTCATATTGGTGCTGACATAGCAACAGGTAATGGAATTTTAATGAGCACATGACACCACCATCCATTTTATATTTTTTCATTTAGGTCGAAAAGATGAGGGGGTAAAACTTTCATATTATAAATTGAGGGGCTGAAACTTTTATAGCCAGTAAGGTGGATGGCTGGCCATGGATTTTCACCCCAATTTTAATGGCAACCGTACTTCTAGTGACTATTTCTCCACCACTAAAACGGCAAAGATTTTTATTTTTTAAAGTGAAGGGCCATTGTAGCCGAGCCGACCTACCACCAAAGAGTAAAGACCCTTTGTTCAAGCAAAGTGTCTTGCTTTACCTTCTAAATTCTGACGCATGAATACATTTTCACTAAATCTTATCACTTTTATAGTCTATGAGGCAAAATAATTACAAGTAATTAAATTATGAAATTAGAGTTTATCGACTAAATTTCTAAAAGATTAGAAGAAAAATAGTCAAAATTATATTGTTTTATTAAAGTACTATAGACAAAGACTTAATCAAACACTCTTTATTTTGATTTTAAAAATAAGTTATTTTAATTTTTTTAATAGAAGTTTAATGAAATAACATAATTTTAAAATATTTTTCTTTTTAATTTTTTTACAGATCTAATTGATAAATACTTTATTTTAAAATTATTTTGTTGGCTCAATAATTTAATTTAATTAGTTGAAATAACATCACTTTCCTTCCCTCCATTTCCCTCATATCAAACAAGCTACTAATATTTCATCTCATATCTCTTAACACACTAATTAAGGACAAGGTTGCAAAAGACATAAATTACTGTATTTTTAATAATAATTGTCTTTCTTATTTTGTGTTCTTGGTAAAAAATGCAATATATATATATGTTGTGAGATGGAGGGAATACAACATACAAAATTGTTTTCCAAGCAAGTACTTTCCTTTGATAGCAATAGTGGAACTTGAAATATTAAATAAATATATATACATTGATTGAATTTATAGGTACAGAATGAAAAAATAAAAAGTCAATTATATAACCATCTATCAAAATTGCAAGTATAACAATTTGGAATTGGTGAATAAGAATTAGGTCTTAATTTTTCCTCGGGCCGGGGAGGAGGGGGTGTGTAAAGGAATAAGCATTACATTAGTAAGGATGAAAATGAAAAAAGGATTTGAGGTTCTTCAATGCCGCAACTTGGTGTTTATAATTTTTCCTTTTTTTTTTTTTTTTTTAATAGGGAATAGACTTTGTGTTTATAAATTTGATGGTGGGTGGCAACGTAATCATTCCACTAATAGTTTTTATTTTCATTTATATATTGTTGTCAGCCATCCGTGGCTCTATTAATCAAATATTTGTTTCCCGAAAATGAAAAATAGAAGTTTGACCGCTTTGCAAACGCGGTAAAGAAATCCAATTACAATTAGAAAAGAAAATTTTGATGAATCCATTGGAAAAAGGGGAATGATTTCAGCATAATTTTTTTTATTTTTAAAATAATTTAATGTGTCATTTAAATGATTAATTTTTTTATTTATATAAAATATATAAAATTCGTAATATTGAATACATCATCTCATTTAATTATATTTAAAAATTATATAAAAAGATTATATAAAAAGATTACTCGTATAACATTATACTTTGAACAGATATTTCTAACCGGAGAAATACTAATACATCTGATATGATAATCTACTGTAATAATTTATTTTAATGAAATTATACATATCTTGTCTTAAACCAAAAAAGAAAATTGCCAACCTGGGTTTCCTTATTTTCTGCCTCGTTTTTTCCATTTTTGCCAAATTCTGCTGTGTGTGTAACATTAAGGAGCACAAAATCCTGAAACAATTAAATATAGAAAGAAAATCAGAAACGGAAACAAAAAAAATCTTAACAGAATATAATTTCCAGAGAAATGCATCATCTCTCCCCACTACAACTCAATCCACAGAATATTCTGTTTTTGACAGAATATTTCATTGAATATGGAAATTACATATTGAAATTTGCCCTTTATTTTAAGAACTTTCTCTTTCAAGAAAATGCAGGACCCTTTGCTTCTTACAAATAATGATCATATGGCTGCAGAAGGGATTGGCTGGTGGACTAAACGGATGGATGAGATGAGCCGTGAAGAGTTCCAGCAATTCTATGCTGCGCTTCGAATTTTCCGAGAGAGGGTGTACCACTACAAGAAAAATGATTTGTAGTGACAGAAATTTATGATGAATTTTGAAATTATCACTATAACTTATCACAATTGTGACAGATCTAAAAAATTAGTCACAGATGCATACATATTTAATAATGAACAAAAAAATTCATTATAAAAAATATATTTTGTTACCGAAAAATATTCATAGAGATAAAATAAGTTTTTGTCGATAAAAATCATCATTATAATGCATTACAATTATGACAAAATTCTAATATTGGTCGCATATATCTTACACATTCAATGATAACCAAATAATTTAGCACTAAAAAATATATTTCGTCACTAAAAACTATCAATTTTCTCTAATCAATGTATCCCACATCAATAAAAAACATATAAGAGAATAAGGTTTTGCACTATAAATATATCCCACATCGACAAAAAATATTTAAGAAAATAAATTTTTGCATTATAAAACATGTGAAACTCAATAAAACTTGA